CTGTCTTGTTCAGCAGCTTTTTCTTCCTCCTTCAAAGCCTTGAGGACCCTTTTCTTCATATACGGAAGTATTCCGCAGAGTCCTCGTCCATATCACTTATGTTCGTGTTCATGATGATGATGTATGATTGGCGTTGCATCAAAAGAAACGCGTTTCCGCGTCCACTCGAGTTGCTCGCGTTCTATGGCGACTAACTCGGACTCATCTTCTTCGAGTTGACGCTTCTCGCCACGTTGCGCTTTTGCTTGCTTGCGCCCGATGGGTCGCTCACTCGAGCCTTGATTCGCGCCTCCCTTCTTTGCGTTGTTGGCCCTGGCCGTCGACCCTTCCTCATCCTTCTTCTTCTTCTCAAGATCCATCCACTTTGGCTCATTCTTGAGGAGAGCATAGCAATGGCTTAGATTCCAGCTTTGCTTGTAATATCTCTCGAACAGTGCTTTGGCAGCTTCCACCTTCATAAGGGTTTATTTGCATTGATATAAATAACCGTGGTGATAGGATCACGTTTACCATGAAAACTATATCAGCATATACGCTATGATAATCACCTCGTCAGTTATATTTGTGCCACTTGTATAACCACTCTCCACTTGGGCAACGCAGCCAATGTACTTGGAAACTCTAGGGTGGATATAGGTCCAACGATCCTTAATCGACTTTACAGTACGTTCAATGATGTGAACTTCATATCCAGTGCTTTCCAGCACGAGTTTTGCGCTCTCCTTCATGCGTTCCAAAAAACTTTTGTGGATAGCAATCCAAAATGCCTCTCCTTTCAATTCAACGCCTGTAACAGGACACATGCTTGTATTCAACCATGCATTACATAGCTGTTTATCTTCTGCTACTGAGAAACTCTTTCCTCAGCCGCCGTTGATAGGTTCGGTATCGTTGCTGTTGCTGTTACTGTTGTTGGGACTCATGGAAGAAAAAATTAGCTTATTGAAAGCAGAGAAAGGGAGGAAGAAGAAAAGTTTTCAGCACATCGGCAAATTGACTCTATATTTGCTACCAACGGTGTTGCAAATGGAGATAAACTAATTTACATTTCTATTTAGCGCTACCGCTGTAGTCAAAAATCTGTATTTTTTTATCGCTATTTTACAGATACAGCCACCGCTGGGGATGCTCCAAAAATCAAATACAGCAGGTACGTAAAATCGGAAGTATGTAAACTCCAAAATGAGAAGTACGTAAAATTTTATAGTACAAATATACAGCACGAGAACTGATTTATGTACTTCGGTGGCCAAGTACGTAAATTTCTAGTGGCTAAGTACGTAAAAATCTAAAAGAGGAAAGTGAAGTACGTAAAAATTTACAATACCCATATAAAACTAATATCAAAATGGAAGAGACACATAAAAAATTTACATCAAAAATAAAAAGATCAATTATAATTAATTTTATGATTGAAAACAATATTAAAAATGTTAATTTTCTATATGATGAAAAAAATAAGCAAATTGATTTTGAAATATCATATAATAATGAAAATGGTCAACAAGAAGAAAAATATCAAGAATATTATAAAATAACAAAAAGAAGAGGAAGTAAAAGAAAAAAATACAATAACAATAAAACAAAAAATTTATCAACACCATCTGTTACAGATGATAGTTCATTAAAAGGTAATGATGTATTAGTAAGTAATGAGAATTATAATAGAGAAAAAAATATTAATGAGCTATCAACAGATAATAGTGAAATAGAAGATAATAACAATGATAGTAATAAACGAAGTCTTTCAAATCTTAGTACTCCTGATATTAGTAATACTAAAAAGAAAAGATATAATAAATGTAGAAATTTTGAATACAATGGATGCTATATAAAAGAAGATAGTAATAGAACATATTGTGAACATTGTTTAGAAGATGGTTATTATACAGATGATGGTAATTCAAATAATAATAATTCAGATAATGATAATTCAGATGATAGCAATTCAGATGATGATAAAGAAGATAATGATAGCAATAACATTAATAAAAATTTTCAAAGAGATGAATATTGTTTACAATTGTTATACAATATATTAATGTATAAAAAGAAACTATTAAGTGAAAATAATACCAATAAATTAAAAAATGTGGATATAATATTTGATAGAATAAAGAGTATTTTTATTGATCTTGGATTTTCGTTTGATTTTCATTATAATACATAATAACTGTTTTTAACATTTCAAACAAATTATGATGATATCTTTTTCTAAAAGCATAATCTAAAAAATACAATGTATATAGCTCAGAATCTTTTTTTATATTGGGCATATGTTTTCTTAAATGCATCCAAAAACCTTCTATACTATTAGTATGTATTGTTGAATCATTTGGACCCACAAAATATTTTGAATGATCAACTGCTTTATGAATATATCCCATATTATTTAAGCTTGTATAAGATTGTAAACCATCAGTGATTATAGTTGTTCCTTGATAAACTTGATCCTTGATTATTGGTAATAATGTTGACATTTTTCGATTTTGATAGGCACCAAAAAGAACAGATTTGAATTTCTTTGATAACCGCCTAATATCCACATATGTTTTCTGTATCGTTTATGCTTTGCAGTAGTAATTTTTGTTTTGCCAAAACAGCATTCGTTGATTTCAACAATTTCATCTTATCTACCAATTACATTTTTCCATAACTCTTGATTGTTAAGGATCCATGTTTTTATCGCAAGGCGTATTTTTGAATATAATCGTGTAACTGTTTCATCATCGATTCCCATTTGTAGAGACACTTTTATAGGAGAAGGATCTATATAAAAAACAAATTAATATTCTATATGTTATATTATAAAAGATACATACCAATCATCCATTGACGTAATAGTTCTACTATTTGTATTGGTCGTAGATTTGTTTTTTCAAATAATGTTTCGGCAAATACACCTTTTCTAATATTATCTGGATAACAATAAAATCGATATCTTTGATAATATTTTCCAATGAATAATGGTTTTTCGTATTTTTTACAAATAAAAGGTTTTATAAGTCCTTGCTTTTGTAAATAGATTATAGCTTGTTCATCGTCGTAAAGTGTTTGAAATAGTGTTTCATTTGATTTAAACATTTTGATAAAGAAAAAGAAAATAAGTGTTTTATGAAAAATCAAAAAAAAAATTATATAACTTTATATATTTTGTGTAACTTACCAAAGAATGCTTATAACCCTAATTTGTCTGTCTGTTAGAATCAATAGATAATAAGCTGTAGTATATTAATCCCATTCATGTTTTTCCTACCAGTTATATACATATGATCATACCTTTAAGTTGCTGTATCAAAATTATCTGAGAGTAAAACAACTACACATTGTATATGATGACATACGATAAGCAGGTGTTTCTATCGATTTATGGGGGCAGAAAAATAGCCTCTGGGCAAAAGGGGGTAGTCAGCTAAATTGAAAGTTAGCAATGTTAGTGACTAACTCTGGTTTGGAAAACTGCTAATTTTAGCAAATAAATGGATTTAGCAGGCAATTTTTAGCAGGGAATTCTGTGCGCCAGTAGTGGCAATAATACCTCTTGAGAACTCATGTTATGTAAAAAAACAGCTTGCAGGTGAAACAAATTGCTACAGAACAAAAAAGTAAGCTAGGCAATAGATACCAACACTAGAAACAACAATGATAGGATATTAAATTGGTACTGCTTCTGATTCGGTACTAGATGTCTTTCTTTTTTTTTCCGGATTTTGTTGTTATTGGGATGAATGATGGCAGTAGAAGAATAGGTCGCTGAGAACCATATTCATTTTCATCTTCAGTCTCGCTCAATAAATCATACACGTCAGTCATTGTTTTTTTTGTAGGGAATTACTACGCGCACGACAAAAATTGACCTCGCGCACGACATTTTTTTTGGTAGTTTAGTATTCCGCAGTTGTCGTGTGCACCGTCTCTTGCACAGCCTGAAAGACCCGCGCACGACAAAATCTGATCTCGTGCAACGACAATTTTTTTTGGCAGTTGTCGTTTACCTCAACGTACTCGACGATTTATGTTCTTCTTGTCTCATATTTAAGCTCTTGTGCCTTGTCTCCGGATTTAATTGTTCTTGTTCTTCGCCCTCCAAATATTCAACAATTTGGTTGACACATTATTATCATCTTTCGTTATATATACGTCGAATATTACACTGATCGTCAAAAATAATTTTATTTGAATAGAATTACATGACAGCCCTAGCTCTGGCAAGTTTTGGAACACGAAACACAGGATATGTCTTTGCAGCCAATACCATCGTCATTGATATTAAATTGGTGAAAACACTTGGTGCACCGTCTACCCACTTTTCTATGGTCTTGGCTACGTCTTTTTGTGTTGACTAAGAAATTGTCTCGCTTGTGCTTCACTATATTATAATACTTATGTTGGCACAAAGTTGTTTACTTGCCATTTGGATACACGGTATGTTAATGTTCTAGTTACTCGGCATATATCATCATAGTTCTGTCGTGCGCAGGGTCTTTCAAACTGTGCGAGAGACCGTGCGCACGACAACTGCCAAAAAAAATTGTCGTTGCGCGAGATCAGATTTTGTCGTGCGCGGGTCTTTCAGGCTGTGCAAGAGACGGTGCACACGACAACTGCGGAATACTAAACTACCAAAAAAAATGTCGTGCGCGAGGTCAATTTTTGTCGTGCGCGTAGTAATTCCCTTTTTTGTATGGTAAATGACTCGGATGATGGACTTGATGTTCTTCAGAAAATCGGATGCAGTCGATAGATAATGATAAAACCGAGCTGGACGATTGATGCTTGAGACACAACCACAAGGACAATCCATAACGATAGGAAGCATATTTAAACCTAGCAGTCAGTCGAATTAGTGGACTGGATGGACGAAGAATAATTGTAGTGTATTGCAAATTAGTAAATTAACTCACCAGAAATGATGATACCACATGTCTTTGTACTTATGAGTTGCGACGGACACTCCTGAACAAGATCATACAGCATATCTTTCAAGTTCTTTGGCAGCTTCATGCCTGCTTCATATAGTGTTTTTGTGCTGTTGACATCGGATATTTTTCCTGCTTCCACAGTGCCGAATAACAAATATTCCGTGGTGAAAAGAATGTCGGTTTTTGTACCGATTTTTCGTCTGGATAATGCAGCAAGGGAGCGATCGAGATTAACTCGGGTTGAAGAGGCTTTAGAGACATATTCTCCGCTAATCAGAATATAAACAGACAAGTTAATTTATCATAATAATCCATACGCAATGTTTACCACCAGATATATACGAAATAACATCAAGGTCTCCATTGTCGAAACAACAGTCAATTATTGACTATGCTCTCTTCATATAATCAGCTTCGGTCTTACATTTTTTGTGCAGGCCATGCATCAAGATCTCCAACACATTCCTCACTGATGAATGAACCCAGTAAAGGTCTGCATCACGAATTGGGTGGAGGCTATGTTTCGTATGTTCGTTCCAGAGTTCATCCAATGTTTTCTATTGTTGCAATAAAAAATGTTATACATGTCTTAAAGCAAAAAAAAAAAGAAACAAGAAACCTACCAAGCCGTTGTAGCAATCCAAATATGTTTGCATGCTTTTAGGTAATTCTGAGAGTGTTACTTTTTTTTCATCCTCTATTTCTTTCAATTCACTCTTAGTGAAATACTCGAGCCAGACTGGATCAGAAGTGTCTAAAATCATTGAATGACTAGGGCTAGAAAAGAACAAAAAATCAAGTATGAGAGAAGGAGAGGAAGGGTAAAACAATCAAGAACAAATACTTACTGTTCGTTGGACAGTTTCATGGCAAGCTCCTTAACTTTATCTTCCACCACCGTCCCAGTACTAAGTGTCCAAAAGGTGTTGCGATTGAGACTTTGGTACATCGCGTCAAACTTCTTATAGTCGCCTTCTTTTAGTTTCGGGGTGGTATTATTGGTGGTGGTGGTATTTTTTGTTGATGATGCTTCTGAAGGGGTTGCCGATTGGTTTTTGGATAAATGTTCGAAAAATGCTGTGGTCAGCACACCCCAGTCAACCTGGGATTTAGCCTAACAATTTGCCAAATATATAAAAAATGAATAACGGTGAACTTTTGAAACATGTATTAAACTGCTCTTTTTTGTGTCATATATATTTAAGTACCCACTACAGTCAAGTTATGTTTGCGGACAATCTTTGCAAAACGCGCAGACCACAAGTCTTTATAATTCTCACTGAGATCCATTATTGACGCGATGAACTGACGTTTGCTCTTGATGAGCTCGTCCAACTTCAAAGGGTGATTTGCTTAGTCAAGAACATATTGCTCTATAACTTTTTGTAACATAGATTATAACATTTTAGTGGCCATTGTCGTGTTCCTTGATATTGGCTTTGTACTGCTTAACTTCTATTATGTCTTGACTTGAATTGAAAATCTTAAGTACTCAAATATTCTGCTCTGCTACACTTAATATATTATCTACTTCAACTTTTATTATGTCTTAGTTGACTAAAACTATGTCCAGGTTGACTGTTATTATGTCCAGGTTGTCTATTATTCATGTTTAGATTGATTATTATTCTTGTCCAGAATGATTTTCATTTATGTATAGATTGATTTTTATTTTGTCCAGGTTGATTTTACTCATGTCTAGATCGATTTATATTCATGTCCAGGTCGATTTATATTCATGTCCAGATCGTTTTATATTCATGTCTAGATCGATCTTTATTCATGTCCAGCTTGATTTTCATTTATGTCTAGATCGATTTTCATTCATGTCCAGCCTAATTTTCATTCATATCCAGCTCGATTTTCATTCATGTCCAGATCAATTATTATTCATGTCCAGATTAACTTTTATTCATGTCCACTTAGATTAACATTCATGTCCACTCTGCCTAAAATTAAATCCCCTCTGCCTAAATAAAAGTTCAAACGTCCACTAGGAGATGAAAAATCCTGTATAATATATTTCAAGATATAATATAGTTAGAAAAAAACAAATAAAAAATAAAGTTTTAAAATCTATCAATTATAATAATAATTACTACTTACTTTTAATATATTTTAACTTAATCTTTCTTATTTTATATTCTAAATTTTCATACTTTAATAAAAGATGATCTTATTCATCCATATACTTATAGTTTTTATTTTCATCAAGAGAAATTTTATTATAATATTCTAAAGCAAAATATAATTCTTTTATACTTGTTACATTATAGTCAGAAAATGTTTCTCTAGTTTTTATATTATATTCTTTTGCTTCAATTATTTCTATTTTATTATTTTTATCTTCATTTATTACTTTCTTTTTTTTCTTATAATTAGAGATGTTTATATATGCTCCCTTTTTAATATTTTATTTTTTAGTATTTTAATATTTTATTTTTTAGTATATTAAAATTCAGTTTTAAAAATAAAAAATATGCAAAATAAATTTTTGTCAGTAACTATATTTTCTAAGTTTTAATTAACCCTATATTCTATACTTAATCTAAACTATTAGCTTGTATTGAACTCAATTATATCTATAGAAAGCTAACTGCAATCATGCTAGTAATTACTTTTGGCAAGAGGAAGCGAATTAGTGGACTGGATGGACAAAGAATAATTGTAGTATATTGCAAATTAGTAAATTAACATACCAGAAATGATGATACCACATGTCTTTATATTTATGAGTTGCGACGGACACTCCTGAACAAGATCATACAGCATATCTTTCAAGTTTTTTGGCAGCTTCATGCCTGCTTCATATAGTGTTTTTGTGCTGTTGACATCGGATATTTTTCCTGCTTCCACAGTGCCGAATTCCAAATATTCCGTGGTGAAAAGAATGTCGGTTTTTGTACCGATTTTTCTTCTAGATAAGGCAGCAAGGGAGCGATCGAGATTAACTCGGGTTGAAGAGGCTTTAGAGACATATTCTCCGCTAATTAGAATATAAACAGACAAGTTAATTTATCATAATAATCCATACACAATGTTTACCACCAGATACATACGAAATAACATCAAGGTCTCCATTGTCGAAACAACAGTCAATTATTGACCATGCTCTCTTCATATAATCAGCTTCGGTCTTACATTTTTTGTGCAGGCCATGCATCAAGATCTCCAACACATTCCTCACTGATGAATGAACCCAGTAAAGGTCTGCATCACGAATTGGGTGGAGGCTATGTTTCGTATGTTCGTTCCAGAGTTCATCCAATGTTTACTATTGTTGCAATAAAAAATGTTATATATGTCTTAAAGCAAAAAAAAAAAAAAGAAACAAGAAACCTACCAAGCCGTTGTAGCAATCTAAATATGTTTGCATGCTTTTAGGTAATTCTGAGAGTGTTACTTTTTTTTCATCCTCTATTTCTTTCAATTCACTCTTAGTGAAATACTCGAGCCAGACTGGATCAGAAGTGTCTAAAATCATTGAATGACTAGGGCTAGGGGGATAAATCGACATCACTTGGATTTTGGATAATTAACCATTGTTTATAATATGAAAATATTTAAAAATTAAAAAAATTGAATATTCATCATAATAATTTTCGATATTTAAACATCATTTATATTAATTAATTTTCAATATTATTTTAAGGTTATAATTTATAATAAAAGCCATTTATGTTTTCAATAAAAAATATGTAATCAGAAATATGATATTCATTATTTTTAAAAATTTTATGAAATGGCATAAAAATGTCTTCAAACTTAAATTTAGGTAATATCCTTTATGAAACATAATTGAATTTTTATAATTATATTATTGAAATAGAATAAATAAGATACTCTACCTATGAAAGATAATAACATTATCTTTTGTTTTTTTTTTTCATAATTTTTGTTATAATTATAAAATATCAAAAAATAATAAAAATGATGGATTTCCTAAAATTATTTTAATCTTTTCTTTTCTCCTTTTTTTACTTTTTTTACTTTTTTTTATTGTATTTAAAGGTTCATCAGGCAAAATATTAATATTTTGTTGAACCTTATGATGTTCAAATGAACCTTTTATTTTTTTTTGTTTTCTTTTTTTAGGCTTATGGTTTAGTGAATGTGAGGCACAAAGATAGTCTTGTTTGTCATTATTAAGGTTTGTTCTTATTTTCCGGCAACACATATAACCTTTTCGTTTTCCTCTTTTATGGATAAACGTACATATTGTTGATGAGGTATTCAGATACCAAAAAATATTTGTTTTTATCTCTTCGGTTTTTTCTTTTATAATTTTTTTCATAATTATTTTTTTATTTTCTATTTGCTCACATAAACCTTCATCTTCAAAATATTTTTGAAATACTTGCTCCATAATATTTTTTATAGAACATTGCATAGAAGATTTACATATAAGAATATCTTCATTTAGAAGGACCATATTGAAATTAAATAATAATATATTTTTTATTAAACTTTAATGGAATTATCTTTTATATTAAATGAAAATTCAATTTTTATTTTTGCGATAATTTAAATTCAGGCGATAATCAAAGAAGTTCGGATAATAACTTCTATAGTACTAAACCGATTTGTCCTCTCCAGATAACTTGCAGGGGATAAATCGACATCACTTGGATTTTGGATAATTAACCATTGTTTATAATATGAAAATATTTAAAAATTAAAAAAATTGAATATTCTATTTATATAAAATGGATATTGATAATAGTGTTAATATAGAATTAAAAAATAAATTAAAAGATGAAATTGAGAAATTAGTATTAAATAAATGGAAATTTTTAGATGAACCTTGGCCTGAGATTAGAAATAGATATAATCATCGTACAAAAATAAAAGATGTAAAAGATAATGAAATTATGAAAGAAATTAAAAATGAATTATTAGAAAAAATAGGGTATATTCCTGTTTATTATTTTTTAACTATTTTATATACTAATAAAGAATATCCAGGACCATATAGAGAAATAGAAAAGGGACTAATTTTATTATATCATATTGTTTCTGGTAGAAGTGGTCCGGAAATGCAAAATATTATTCCATATACTACCTTTTATGATTTATATAAAGATTTTTGGATAAATAATTATACGAATTTAAATAAAAAAGTAAAATCAGATTTAGAAAACTTATTTTCAAATATAAAAATTAGAATATTATCAGCTAAATTATATAATCCAGAAGGTTTTGAAAATGTAACGCTATATATTGATGGTCATGATAGTAAAATAAAGTATTATAACCCAAGTGAAAATAAAAGTAAATTGTATTCTTATAAATTAAAAGGTCCTGGTTTAAGAACTCAAATTGTAGTAGATGTTAATAAAAGTATATTATTTATATCAAATAGTGAAAAATGTGCCCAAGGTAATGATGGTACTATGTTTTTAAATATGAAATTATATAAAGATATTAATAAATTAGATGTTTTAGCTATGGATGGAGGTTATAATTTATATGTTGAAAAATTTATTGAAAATGCAAATGAATATGGATATGATTTTGATAGTAAAAATTTTGTATATCCAATTAGAAAAGAAATTAATAATAAATTAACTGTATCAGAATTAAGCTTTAATAGTAAATTTGGGTCTTTTAGATCTGAAATAGAAAGTCAATTTTCTGTTCTAGCTTCAAAATTTAATAGATTTAATAATAATAAATCTGCCATTCAAATGTCAGATAAAAAGTACTATAATTTGCAATTTCGTATTGCATGTTTATTAAAAAATATACATAATTATTGTGAAAATTATAATATAGAAATTAAACCACATCATAAACTTTGGTACGGAAATAGGTTTGAATTCCCATCTAAAATAAATAAAATAAATTTAGTTTTTAGTAATGAGCAAAAAGTGAAAAAAGAATATAATGAAATGTTAGAACTACAATCTAAAATTTTAGACCTTAATATAGAGGATATTGATATGGAAGATAAGGATATAAATGTTGAAACTATTGATAATTTAAAAGAAGTATCTAAAAAAAGAAGACGTAATCAAATTAAAAATAAATCAGGTGGTAATATATATGAAGTGGAAAAAATAGTAGATCATATGATAGATAATAATGGTAAATATTTATTTTATGTTAAATGGTTAGGATATAGTAATGAAGATAATACTTGGGTAAAACAGTCAGAATTTAATACAAAAGATATTATTAATGAGTATATGAAAGATAAAACTAATTAAAATAAAAAATGGCGTACTCTCCCCTACGTATTTAAAAAGTTAATCACCTTTTTTTTAGCTTTAATAGTAAGTAACTTAGTTAAGTAGATTTCTTATTATTTTTCCTAGATTTATATCTTTAATGGAATTGGTAATTGGTTTTTTACAAACGAGAATTTCTGTATTAAGTATAACCATTGTATATTTTTGTAATAATATCAAGCAGTTGAATATATAGGTAATTATTTTTATAATAGAAAAAAAAATTTGTTTTTTCGATTTTTAAAAAATAGACGATAATTTAAACTCAGCAAACAAAATCTTGTATAGGTCCGTTTCGATAAGCCCTCTAGAAAAGAACAAAAAATTAAGTACGAGAGAAGGAGAGGAAGGGTAAAACAATCAAGAACAAATACTTACTGTTCGTTGGACAGTTTCATGGCAAGCTCCTTAACTTTATCTTCCACCACCGTCCCAGTACTAAGTGTCCAAAAGGTGTTACGATTGAGACTTTGGTACATCGCGTCAAACTTCTTATAGTCGCCTTCTTTTAGTTTCGGGGTGGTATTATTGGTGGTGGTGGTATTTTTTGTTGATGATGCTTCTGAAGGGGTTGCCGATTGGTTTTTGGATAAATGTTCGAAAAATGCTATGGTCAGCACACCCCAGTCAACCTGGGATTTAGCCTAACAATTTGCCAAATATATAAAAAATGAATAACGGTGAACTTTTGAAACATGTATTAAACTGCTCTTTTTTGTGTCATATATATTTAAGTACCCACTACAGTCAAGTTATGTTTGCGGACAATCTTTGCAAAACGCGCAGACCACAAGTCTTTATAATTCTCACTGAGATCCATTATTGACGCGATGAACCGACGTTTGCTCTTGATGAACTCGTCCAACTTCAAAGGGTGATTTGCTTGGTCAAGAACATATTGCTCTATAACTTTTTGTAACATGGATTATAACATTTTAGTGGCCATTGTTGTATTCTCATTCAGATCCATTGTTATTATTACTCTTTACCTTCGTCAATAGTATCCATGGCAACAAAAGACCTAATGTTTTAAAACAACTTTACACCTGCTCCTAGTTTCCCAGTAACAATTTGGGCAAGAAGCGGCAAATGGTAATTTTAAAAGAGCGATGATATTTAAATTTTATCTAAATTTGCATAATATTTTTTTTAAAAAATGAATTTTATAATATATATAAAACTAATATCAAAATGGAAGAGACACATAAAAAATTTACATCAAAAATAAAAAGATCAATTATAATTAATTTTATGATTGAAAACAATATTAAAAATGTTAATTTTCTATATGATGAAAAAAATAAACAAATTGATTTTGAAATATCATATAATAATGAAAATGGTCAACAAGAAGAAAAATATCAAGAATATTATAAAATAACAAAAAGAAGAGGAAGTAAAAGAAAAAAATACAATAATAATAAAACAAAAAATTTATCAACACCATCTGTTACAGATGATAGTTCATTAAAAGGTAATGATGTATTAGTAAGTAATGAGAATTATAATAGAGAAAAAAATATTAATGAGCTATTAACAGATAATAGTGAAATAGAAGATAATAACAATGATAGTAATAAACAAAGTCTTTCAAATCTTAGTACTCCTGATATTAGTAATACTAAAAAGAAAAGATATAATAAATGTAGAAATTTTGAATACAATGGATGCTATATAAAAGAAGATAGTAATAGAACATATTGTGAACATTGTTTAGAGATGGTTATTATACAGATGATGGTAATTCAAATAATAATAATTCAGATAATCATAATTCAGATGATAGCAATTCAGATGATGATAAAGAAGATAATGATAGCAATAACATTAATAAAAATTTTCAAAGAGATGAATATTGTTTACAATTGTTATACAATATATTAATGTATGAAAAGAAACTATTAAGTGAAAATAATACCAATAAATTAAAAAATGTGGATATAATATTTGATAGAATAAAGAGTATTTTTATTGATCTTGGATTTTCGTTTGATTTTCATTATCTCTAGTATAATAGACAATCTTCAAAAATTAATAATGAAAGTCCTTCCTTTTTTGGAATCGATTTTTAGCAGTGGTTTGTCTCCGAACAGCGAGCAGAGCTTTCCGTCCCCCTTCCTCTTCACGCGATCAATTTTTAAATCATTACACAGCTTGGGTCTTTGTTACATGTGAACAGTTTGCAATTTATTTTAATAATTCGCACTGTACACCTCGAGAGGTGGTGCCATTAGGATGGTTTACAGAACGCGATGGTGAACTAAGTGGCGTACGATGGGCAGGCGGCAAATTCAGTTTCTGAATTCCTTCCTCAAGAGAGGGCACAGGGGACAGTGGTGGAGGAGACACCGATTGGTATTCCTCTATCAAAAGCAGAGGCGAAGACACTGCTGGCGAAGGTACAGAAGGAAGATCTGACGGGATAGTGTCTATTTGCGAGTCTGCCTGTTCAAGCTGTCTCTGTGAGGACTGGAGATCTAATCCTTGAATGAGTTCATGCATACATATATATCTTAGCAAATAGGATTAAGTTACCAAGCAAATGCTCACAAGCTTCCATGAGCTAGATATCCTCCTGAGTCAACTCAAACTCATCATCGCTGTTTTTCTGTTTTTGAAAGCAAAGTTAACTAACGCGCTATATATGAGTTATTATAAAAACGTGGTTTCTTAGAGTACCTGACGCTTTGCATTTCTGCTAGCACTTTGCTTTTGCGCTTTCGATAGAGCATTTGCTCCAAACCTTCTGTCTGATGATTGGGCTGAGTACTTCGAGTGTTGGGCATGATGGGAAGTTTGAAAGAAGAAAGTTGTCAGATCGGATAAGATATATTTGCCCTCACTCTGTTCGGAGTGCACAAAAGAAAGCTCACTCGGATATATAGAGCATAAATACCCTGGCAATGTAGCACCACATCTACTTTAGGAAAAAGATGACATGATCACTTTACTGTCATCTTGATAGCTAGAATGAGAGGAGATTATTTTTGCATTCTTTCTTCAATGAGTAACAACGCTGCTGAAACCACACCGCAAGGACAAACTATCACTGCTCCTACCAACACTGTGAGTTATTGAGACCACTGGATATCGTAAACGCCGTGAAGCTGATTCATGATACTGAACATTATATAATGATACTTTAGCATCAAGAAGATGCCTCTGGCAATTTATTTGCTACTATTGATTTGCGTGAAGGCTTTGGCAGGCCCAGAACACGTCGTCGTGGTGCAGGCAGACCCCGTCTAGAAAGGACTGCTACTAGGCCACTTGGATATCAGGACCAATTCGAGGAAACAACTATTGCTGGGCAGGATATTGTTGAGGACGCTGCATCTCCTCACGCTCACCGTCATGTGTTGCCACCAATGAACGCAACATGCAGTGCATGCGGTGCTCGGGTTTGGTCTTGGGAAACCCGTCGACAGAATGTTGATGGCACGTATTGCTATTCAATTTGCTGTGGCTATGGGGTTGTTGAACTTCCACCTGTTCTGCGTCCACCAGAGCCACTGCGCTCTCTGCTCATTGGTACAGATGAGGAATCGTCAACGTTTCGTGAACAGATCCGCCTATACAATGGTACTTTTGCATTTGCTTCCCTTGGTGTGGATCGTCTCGACCAAAATTATACCAATGCTAGAGGCGGAGCAAACTCTTTTCGTATCCAAGGCACTGTTTACCACAGAATCAGTTCCATTGTTCCTCAAGATGGTCGTCCGCCCCGCTTTGCTCAAATCTACATATATGATCCTCAAGAGCAGGCAGCAATCAGACAGACAGTCTTTCCAGGTTAGCATTAGTAAACACAATTTATAACGAACGGTCTTATATGACTTTTTCGGCAATGTATTAGATGGAAACCTGGATCGTGCATTGTTGCTTGATTTGCAGGCTATGCTTGATGAAAATAATCAGCATGTTCAGACCTTTCGGACGGCAGCTGAGCGTTTGCGCGGTGCACCAGGTGTCAACTTGGGGATACGCATCTCTGGGAGCCAGCGCCGCGGAAGACAGTATGCAGCTCCTACTGCTGACGAAATAGCTGTACTGATTGTTGACAATCCAGGCGAAGATGCTACCTATCGTGATGTTGTTCTCTTTCGCCGTGATGGAGGGATGCAAAGGATTAATGAGACAAGTAGTTTGTATGATCCACTGCATTATGTCCTTATGTTCCCAAATGCAGAAAATGGATGGAGTGAAGGAATTCCTCTTCGTGGACATCAGCATGCTCAAGCTGAGCCAGGTCGGGAGCGTCATGGTCGTCAGGGTACTGTCTCGGTTCGTCAATTTTACGCCTACCGCATCCAAGAACGTGGCGAGTCTCTTGCGCATCTATATGGGCGACTTTGGCACCAGTACATTGTCGATATGTACGCAAAGATTGAGCACCGTCGTATGCATTACTATCGCAGCCATCAAAGACAGCTACGCGTGGAACTTTACAGTGGTATGGCTGATGCGCTCCAGCAAGATGTAGGAGAAGATAATAACGAGCTGGCTCGAAATTTGGGTCGTCGTGTTATCCTTCCATCTTCTCATACTGGCAGTCCTCGGTAAGTTATTCTTTAAGATAGCAACATGAGTATCGTGCCTGGGATCGTTTAGAATTACAATCAGCTAGCGTTTTGCTGTGGAGAGTTTGTTATGGTGAAAATAAAATAAAATGTTACTATACATGAAATTGCTTACATCAATCTCTGTTATCTTTTTCTGTTCTGTTTCTTTATAAAGTTATATGCATCAGCTGTATCAGGATGCAATGGCTATTGTGCGACATTTTGGAAAGCCGGATCTTTTTATAACTGTTACGTGCAACCCAGAGTGGCCGGAAATAAGAGAAGCCTTGGCCTCTAATGGACAGCAGCCATCTGATCGCCCTGACTTGATTGCCCGTGTTTTTTCTGAAAAGATCAAGCTAATAATGGCAGATCTCAAAGATCATAACGTGCTCGGCAATGTTGTCGCATGGGTTCAAGTAATTGAATTCCAAAAGCGCGGCTTGCCACATGCCCACATTGTTTTGATTATGCACGATGACTCCAAAATACGCACTGTTGAGGATGTCGACAACATCGTTTCTGCTGAAATTCCAGACCCCCAGCGCTATCCACAGGCATATGCCACTGTCACACGCAATATGATCCATACTCCCTGTGGCTCTTTACTCAATCCACGCGCCATCTGTATGAGTAATGGATCATGCTCAAAACGATTTCCCAAACCATTCGCCAATGAAACTCGATTCGATGAAAACGGCAATATAACATATCGTCGACGTGATATGCCTGATCGCACAATCGAAAGAATTGTCAACCGCACAACATACAATGTCGGAAATGGATGGGTCGTTCCGTACAACTTATATCTTACAACAAAGTACAACGCCCATATCAACGTCGAAATTTGCTCCAGCAACCGAGCTGTAAAGTACCTATACAAGTACGTTTACAAAGGGTCCGACCGTGCCGAGGTGACAGTAGGCACCCAAAGTGCAGCGACAGTGACGCAAGCAAATGAAGAAAACGTTCATGAGATTGATGCATTTTTGAATGTACGATACGTATCGGCAGCAGAAAGTTGTTGGCGCATTTTCGAGAAGGATATGCAGAGTCATTTTCCAGCAGTAAAGCGCTTAGATATCCATTTGCCATCAGAAGAGAACGTGTACTTTGAAGCTGATGCCGATGTTCGAAACTTGCAACGCGCAGCACGCAACCGGAGCTCGACGTTGGTAGATTGGTTTGTGTTGAACCAGCGCGACCCTGACGCACGACAATACTTATATGTCGACATCTACTCGGCATATACGCACAGCAGACAACGTGGATGGTATCGCCGTGGACGAATGCATAACCGTGGTGTGGCACCAGTCTCTCGATTGTACTTTGTACAGCCACGCGACCTGGAGAAATATAGCTTGAGGCTATTGTTGTTGCACGTTCCGGGCGCCACCAGTTTTGAGGATATCCGCACTTTTGAAGGCACAGTATATCCCACGTTTA